TGACCCAGGCTCAGACTTGTGATGTCTGGATGACCCTGCCTTTATCGCCCTGATAAGCCATTTGGGAGCATTGGAACAGTCAACTCTTTCGACTGGTTTCTGAATTAAAAAAACTGCAACATCTTTCTTTATGATTGTAAGGACATAAGTGAAATCTACTGAAACGTGTCCATAGTTATAAGAAAACAGATTATGTTTGTGCTCTTATCTTCTAGGTTTTCTATTTAACTGAATTTTTTGCACTTCATATCCTACCAACTTCTCCCTTTTCCTCAAAAAAAGTCTATGTTTTATAACATGGCTTGCATCTGAAGAAGGCTTCATAGCCTAAACATTGTGTTTGCTCTCTTCTCTTTTCAGGATGGAATAAACCTATTACTTGTTCATATGTTTTATAACTCTGCTTTTCGGTCAGGATACATTTTCCATAGCATTTCTAAATAAGGTTTTGTTGTTATTTTCATAGACATTGTATAAACTTACGGGAGTATAATGCACATTAAGCTATTTGAAGTTAAATACTTCTGTATATTTGAAAAAGAAAAAAAATGGTGATTTAAATAATGTACAAAGACAATACATTTGTTTAAGCAAGCAGGGCCTAAAAAACACATTTCTTTCATGCATCCAAAGTTTGCTAATACATAATAGTTAAAAGATAAATTATAGGGTTTATAAGAAAAATATCCTTGGGTATTATACTGTATATGAATTGTAAATACATATAAAATACCAGTTCAAGAAGACAACTTATAATTCATGAATCTTGAAAAGGATGGCCTGCCTCCTGTGAGGCCAGGGTGTAATTTAATAAGAAGAGTTTTGCATTATATACTGTATATTCACTAAACTCCCTATATTTTGAGAGCATGATGTAACATTAGCTAATAGTCTACGGAGGTTAGTCCACTGATTAAACTTCCTTTTTACAAAGACATAATCAATGTAATTTTTATGCTTTAAACTGTTCAATAGTTTAATTTCAATTTACCTCGGTCAATGCAAACTGTCAACAATGTGAATTAAGTTTAAATTATACACCCCTGCTTAAGATCTATAGACTAATTTTCTTAACAATCCTTCATAAACCACTTTTGTTAACATTTTGTTCCTAACTGCCAGAACGCCTTCTGTAAGGCTGCTCAATAAGAGCTAATTTCATAATGCCACTGCAGTGTTTTGTGCTTAAAGCATGCTCCACTGATGTCGACACCAACAAGCCAACAACAGGTGTTGCCGGCTTGTTGCCTTGACACACAGGCAGAGCTGAGTTGCTGTGTTATGTTGCTGAGGCCTGTTTTATTTTCATGGCTAGACCACAACAACCTTCTTCTAAAACAATATTGTTTCATTGTGAAGTTGTAGTTTCAAAACTATTGATGCAAATACCGACGTATTATTAGGCCACTTCATGCCTCTACTGTATTTAAAA